ATGAAATCGAAAATTTGAACACGCCAACAAATCTGTCGAATTTTATGCATAGGAGAAACGAACATCTTTTTGAACATTAATAAATGCAACACGTAAAATAATTATGTATAATACCGAATTCATAACGTGTCACAACTACTCAACGTTACCTTTACATCCATGTCTGGTCTCTGGAGTCTCGTCAGCTGCTATGGGATACGTTCGTGGTTCCTTGACATGTAACAACGGTTGTGGTTAAAGCTGAGCCTATATGTACATATGTATAATAATACGTACGTCGAACAACCACTGCCTATTCTGCAAAAGTTTCAACTGGATTATCGATGATCAAAGTTCACGATTCTGTAAACTCGCTTGGGATGAGAGTATCGGTATCCTGTTCATTGAATACTTTCCGGTTGTTCCCTTCCGGTCGATCCTGTATTACTAGTCGTACCTTCCGCTTTATTTTACGCTTTATCTTTAGAATATGCGATGCGAATAACTGCCTGATTTCTGAAGATCAGTTTTATGATTATTTTCCACAATTTAATTATGTGCATTTTAATGCGTATTAAAATGTAATCATGTTATCAAGTTAAAAATTTTTATTGTAATGTCATACATGAATTATTGTAAAAAAATTAAAGATTTGTACGTGAAAGATGATGTAAAAAAATTACAAGAAATATATTTGCAAATATATATAAAAAATTAAGATGCTAAATCACACTTAGCTTTTGACAAAATTATTCTCAAGCCAATTCATCGCAGTTTGGCGAATCCATCGATTATCATTTAACCCAGTTCTCGAAATTCATGTTGCTCTAGACTCTAGGGTTCAACTATCTCATCGTTCCATCGAAAACGTAATTTCGTTCTTAGTCGTTCGATCATGCCTCGACGCGAGGTGTATTGCACCGACGCAGCAACACAGGTATATGCCTATTAATAGTAGAGGGTATCTAAATTAACGATGCTGATAGAACAGTTCGACAGGTCAGGCAGTTTCATGGTAAACCGTGTGTTGCTATTGAAAATGGTCCGAAGTGGCGAACTAGTTTGGAATTGAATCCAGTCTGAGTTTTTCATCACTGATATGGTTGAATGCAGTGCATTTCCTAGTAATTTAGAGCAAGCATTTCTTATTTCGTAATTTAAGATTCGCGTGCATTGGTTCGTTTACGGTCAGGGAGAAGTAAGCATTAGAAAGTTCAGTTTTGAGAGAATTAAGGACAAGACATTTATTGTGGGTGATCATAAAAGTGATTTATAGATTGCTGAAATTAACTCAAACGATCTACAATTCCGTGAAGGTATTTTTCTCTCCAATCGACTATCTATTTAGTGAGTTTAATAATTTTACACTCCCCAACAATCTACGTGACTACACTGCAGTTTAAAAGTGTTGCCTGTATTTAATCAACTGAAATTAAATAATACGTGTTTTATCTGTGGGTATTTTGTAACGTTGAAAAAGAAAAACCTTTCTTCTTTAATTGCAAAAATCGAAACGTAGGAATTTCTTATTTTTTGAACTTAAAGATCTTAAACTTTTAAGTTAATTATTTAACGAATGAGTTCAGATTAATGAATTTTGTTACGTGTATCTTTTTTTAAGAGTAAAGTTTCATAATCTTAAAATTTTACCGCATATCATGACGGAATCGCAATAGAGATGTTAAAAGTAGTTCGTGCTTCGTTCCTACAACTCTTTCCTCGAAACGGGGGTCTTTTTGCTCCCGTACGAGGTCGATGGATTAGTACTGATAAGCAAAAGTTAGGGGCCAATAGACGCTCCATAGTCTTATAGGCCTTTGTGCATAAGTAAGACACCGCTGATAAACTCCTGGAGAAGCTGCTAGGATTTCGTCTACATGCCACGGTAAGATCTACCGGCTGCTAGTGAGTTAAGCCCGTATCAATACGGCTTCACATACGAGTGTCTATCATCGACACTATCAGGAATCAGGATGTATGGGGGGATTCGAAGAAAGTGGCGTGTGCCAGAGGTACGAAGTAGTAAGGCCACTTTTCCACATTTGTTCGCAGGTAATTCTGAACGTACCGGACGTTAGCACCTGACCAGGTAGACACTTTGAAGCGGGATTTTACGATCCCAGAGTCTGCATCTGTTCCAGACTTAGCAGGCCATAGGGTCGGTTATTGTCAACTGTCCAAAAAGAAGGTAGCTGACAATTATGACGGCCTGGGGAATGGCGTCATAAATCAAGGTGATTATCGTTAGGCCAAGATTAGGCGATTGCGAGCTTGTGGTCGGCGGGCCACTTCCCCGATCCTCGTGCTATATTGGTTCCTACCTGACCTGTGTTTCAACGCCAGAAAATAAACCTAATGACATAGCTTTGTCTCTTTCTTTCTCGAATTTTAATCCGAATTATCCAAAATATACGTATGTAGTATGTAAGGTCCTACCATAGGACTTCCTATATTCGGAGGAAGCTCATATTGTTAAATGGGGCTACCTTACAAAGCATGTATAACGTTTTAGTGTCAAAGCGTACTTGATATTAGTGGGGAAAATAATTGACAATAAGTTAAGAATTGAAGGTGAAGAATTGAAGAAAAGGTGGAGAGGGGAAGAAAATCGCCACCCCTGATCTTTATCGATGATCTTTATCGATTTATTAGATGATTATCGTAATGTCAAAGTTTCGACAAATTCATTCAATCTGTCGTTGCTTGTACGCCTTTGTTATAATATGATTCGAGGTCTGATATGCGATTTATTAGAACCGCGGAAACGAGACGCGTGTCGTCGCGATTGATCCCTCGTCTAGGATGCCCGTGTACACGTGCACCAGCTCACCTATTAATAGAGAGAGGGACCCTACTCAAATTACTGAAACTGATAAAGTATGTCGACAGAGGCGACTAAGTAATTGAATTCTGTATGACGAATTGCGTCGCAGTTTCAGCTACTGGTCCGTTAGTTCGTCTCCCTTGGTTGGTTTTTCTCGCTGGATGTTACACAACGCGATCTAGAATTAATAGTTTCAAAGGAAACAAGGCGTTCCGGAACAGATATCCAACTATGTACCATGGACGGATGTTATGCTCTACTGCTCTACTTGTTCATGGTATCGTGGTTCTTTTGAATGGACCACCAATTCTCGACTGTTTGACACGTGTTTAAGGATAGAGTGTAGAAGTTGAATGAATGTGTGAGTCAGAATAAAAGTTTAACTCTTATTTATAGGTCAGGATTACACGAGCCTTTCATACACCGCATATTGGACATCGTGTTTTCTTTGTTCCTTTCTTTTTCTCTATTTTTCCGATTTTTATGCCTATGCAGATTTGCATACTTCGGAAGAGAAACCGCGACGAATGACACGCAGCCAATGATAAAATATCTTTTATTTTTTACATACATTTTATTAGAAGCACCGAGGAGAGATTACTAAAAAGTGGCAACGCCTGTGTTAAAGCACGGCCCGAGAAGTGGGTCCTAATGGGCCCAAATCGGCAAGGTAGGCTCATGAAATCCTACAGAATTACAGTTTCGGTGCGTACCGATGTTCAGACTCACCGATGCTTTTTTCCTGCACGACAGATTATAGTCTAAGCATCTAGTTGTTTGTTAAAAAAGTCAGAAACAGTAAACTTATTACTTTTACATCTGCATTTTACCCGAGAAATATTTTTTTGTACTGGATCGACGGTAGTTTTGCTTGATGTTTCTTATTTTTGGTCCAGCATATCCTAGAAGGTATAAAAAATTAGGGGTTGGTGTACAGTCTATTTTTAGGCTGCGAGGTTCCATGAATAAGGGCAAAATAAAGGCTGCCATTCTTTAATAATCTCTTCTCGGTAAATGAACATATCAAAGGGTGCGGTGACGGCCCGAAGGCAAGTTTGAGCCGTCAGGTAGCAGCATGTCCCTCTCTGCCCTTATATACGTGTAAATTCGAAAATTTGAATAAGTTTTATTAATATAATTGCATCTTTTGTAAATTATCGAGGTCTTGAGGTTTTTAATCAAGTTTTAATTTTTAGTTTCTTGAATTTCAGTGTTGGAATATTCGACCACCCTTGTATGTTAATCAATTACTGATCAGTTACGCGTCTGCGCGAACTTTCAAATCTTTAAAATAAAGGAACACAGAAAATAATTGACTTCGATCATCTGTCTGTAAAACTGCTAAATAAAACGACATGTCTTGCGATATTAATATAATTGAGTAATTAT